GAAAACAGATGAGGTATAATAAACAGGAGAAAATATATCCATGATATTAACCTTCAGCCCAACTCCACCTTTTCTTTATAAATGGATACAAACATACAGACAGATAGAAGGAAGAGGTTCTAATGTTCAATGGCAGAGTAGGGTGAATACAGTTAGCAACAGTGTATTATATATTTCAAAGTAGCTAAAAAAACTTGAAATATTCCTAATTCATAGAAATGATACTCTAAGTAATGAATACCTCCAAACCTTGACTTGATCATTATACATTCTATGCATATAACAAAATATCACACATACCCCATATACATGTAAAATATACCAACAAAAAAAGAATAAAAATTGGACCAATTAATAATCTTTAAGGCAAAACGATAGTAAATATTCTGAGTTGTATTTCTACTAGTAAAAAAAAATGCAATAATTCAATTGTGTTCATGCATTTCTCCTTACTATGACCAAATTATTAAGAATAAATGGAAAGGGCTAGACGTGGTAACTCACACCTGTAATCTCAGCATTTTGGGACACTGAGGTGAGCAGATCACCTGAGGTCAGGAGTTCAAGACCAGCCTGGCCAACATGGTGAAACCCTATTTCTACTAAAAATATAAAAATTAGCCAGGTGTGGTGATCGGTGCTTATAATTCCAGCTACTTGGGAGGCTGAGGCAGGAGAATTGATGGAACCCGGGAGGCGGAGGTTGCAGTGAGCCAGGATGGCACCACTGCACTCCAGCCTGGGCAACAGAATGAGATTCCATATCAAAAATAAGTAAGTAAATAAATAAAAACAAATGGAAACAGGTCGGCTTATATTTTAAAATGAATTTAACTATCTATAATCTTCATTTGAATGATTTGACCACATCCCTACCTCATGGAACAGGAAATAATACAGCATAGTTGAGGGAGTGAAGCACACATTAGCAGGATCAAGTATATATTCTTGAAGACAATAACAAAGTCCCCTGTTACTCTTAGGAGCTTTGATTCACCTGAGAGATATATGTGTGTTAGGGGATTGGAAAGACTGGGAATGAATAAAAAGAACTGCCACAAGAAAACAATAAGAAAGACAGAATTGGCAGAGAACTGGATTCTCTTTCAGGGACCTACCGTTCCATCCCCACCACAGGCCAGAATTCGCAGATTTGGGACTTTCCTATACAATTCAAGCCTGTAGAGGAAACAGAAGAAAAAGTAAACAAAGAACATTTCACTGGCTAGAGCAGAGAGAAAAACAGTGAACAACATGGGTGAGGGTGGTGTCCACTGGAGAAAATGTATAATCATGAGGATGACAATGCTATCATAGGTCCCAAGTAACCACAGGAGGAATGACTCCCACAAGTGGAACAGGTGTAGGCAGTAGGCATTATTTTTGCATGGCCAACATTGGAATTTAAGGGATTTTCGGGTGTCCTAGTTTTTTATTTCTCATAATTTCTATTACATGTCAACATTATTTTCCTCATTCATTTTGACTTCCTTCTCTTTCTTTTATGTAAGAAATTTTTTTCAGCAAGATGGGAGGCTTCCCTACCACCATTTTTACCACGTCTACAACTCTGTCCAGTCTCTCTCTCAGCTCAGTCACTTACACACCACTTATACCTCCAACCCAAAGTGGGAAGATTGACTGATTTTATTTCAAACTTGCCTGCTTGAAATAAGATCATTTGTCTTTCCTGTTGGCTCTCAGGAAAATGCAGGGACACTGCCCCTGCTCAATCTTTTGCTTAGGTAAAGCTGCTAGTGGCTGTAATCTAGAAAACATCACCTGTTGAGATCACAAATTATGTTTTTTTTCCTGAAAATATTTCCTGTCCTACCATGTTCTTTATGGTCACGTATGAAGTATCTCTCTGGGGTCTAACTAAAGCGATAACATCTTAAGAAAAATAAGTTCCTAAAATGGCACATCCCAGGATAGCAGATTTGCCTTAGCACAATCAAGTACAGAAAAAAAATTAAAATATATGTGTACATTATATACATATACACACGGAGAGAGAGAGAGAATCTTACAGCAAACTCAACTGGCAAAGAAATTTATACATTAAGAAAATAAACTAATTTTCATGTTTCCTAATCTCCTGCATGCTTAAAATATGTAACTTATCTATTTTATATAAGAATACTATTTCTCTAGAAATAATCTTTTCCGCTGATATTGTTGGTTATTAAAAAAAATAGCTGGTATCCTTATGTTGTAATATTTATCAGATAATATCTGAACTATCCTAGTAGATGAGCTTCAAACAGGGTACCAGGAAACCAGAGAATAGCAGAAGTGCCCTTGGTCTTTCCCACTGTGTGCCTCTCCACCAAAGGGGAGAAAAGGATATGGGTCACCTACAACCTAGACTTTATTTTACATACTTCTAACAAAAGCAGATAATGAGATTTCTGAGAAGCTCAGAAAAGGAACTGAGCAGGGATTAATCCATCTTCACCACACTTGTGCAGAGACCTCAGGTATAATCAGCTGATACACACACACACACTCTCACACACTCTTCCCCCAGTTCAAATGTTTATTGACAAACATGGCTCTACCCTCCACAGACATACATTCCCATTAATGTGCATCTCAAAAGTTGTACATGAAGAGATAGAAAAACAATGAGTCCCTTCTCAATTCACAGATTTGCTGAGAACAATCTACAGTTACACATACGTAAGTAACAAACACACTAGAGGTATTCGGTGAGTTAACAGCCTAGAAGATATGTTTTGAAAGGAACCAACCTATTAAAGAGTAGGAGAGAACGTTAGATGAAGTTTTAAAGGAAGGAGAGTACAGGTGAGAAGGTAGATGACATGGTCAGGAAATACCTCACAAGGTAATCAGATACTGAGGCAGAAAGTTCTCACTTGCCTAAAACACATACGGACCGTGGAGAATATTTCGAAACTTACGCATCTTTTGGCCCTTCCTGAGAGAGATCAAAGACTTGCCGTGGATTCAGGTACCACATAAACATCTGCAGGACTTTGGTTCCCTGTAAAAAGTAAACAAATACATAAAAAGGCAATAATAGGAAGAAATTTCCCAATAATAACTGCTCATTTAAAAAATAGATTTTATAATAATTTTTTATTTAAAATAATATGCAGGGCACAGTGGCTCATGCCTATAATCCCAGCACTTTGGAAGGCCGAGGCAGGTGGATGGCTTGAGCCCAGGAGTTTGAGAACAGCCTGGGCAACATGGCAAAATCTCACATCTATGAAAATTGCAAAAATTAGCCAAGTGTGGTGGTGCATGCCTTTAATCCCAGCCCAAGAGGCAGACTGTGCAGTGAGACAAGATCGGACCATAGCACTCCAGCCTGGGTGACAGTAGTGAAATTCTGTCTCAACAAATAAAAATAAGCGAGTGAATAAATGATGAATAAATAATCAAAATACTATCTAATTATAAACAATATAGAAGAGTAGTTAAAATCATTGGCTTTGGCCATAGATATACATAGGTTGAATGTCAGGTTAGATGTTTATCTAACCTGTGTAACACTGGGCAAGTTTCTTAATTTCAATAAAGCTCAGCCCACCTTTTCTTTAATACACAGACAAGAATGACCAGTTTGCAGACTTCTTGCAAGGATTAAAAGCAATAATTTTTGAGAAGTACATCACAGTGTTCAAAATGCAGTAAGTGCTTGATGAATAACATGTGTTTTACTATTATTACTTAATGTATGAAAATCCATATAGAAAAGTTATTCATCAGCCTATGTAATTTAACATTAATTTTGAATTTATTATATAGATTTTTATCTGTATTATATAAAATATGGGCAGTATTAGCTAAGTATTAATATAATTTATGGAAATACTTTTTTTCTAACTGAAGCAAAAGTATCCCAGGCTCCCAGTATATGTATACACACACATACATATGGAAGTTATACATACATAACTTCCTTAGTAAGATCACAGCTTACTTTGACATTTTCAATCTCCATGCCTATATTGGTTTGTTTAAGCCAAACACCTGTCTCTTACATGAACATTTTTGGGGAATTTTAAGTAACTGTGACATTTATAGAGATGATCATTATAGCAGACATAAGGTCACTTTAGAGATCATTTTTAAAGTTGATTGAGCAAACAAAAATGCAAGAAGAATCTTTTTATCAAGCGATACCAAAATAAATTTAAAATTGAGTAGAGTGCCTCATTTTATCACCCATAGCAAATAATATTTGACCAGTCGAGCCGAGTTTGTTGCTCATAATATTGTTGTTTCAGTAGATATAAAAATTGTTCTTTCTTAAAATATCCCTAGGTTTGTATATCTAACAAGCTGTATTTAAGAGTCATCCTAGCATAGTAGAAACGGTGTGAGATTTGAGGTCAAACTAGCCTCAGTGTTCTAAATGAGTAATCATGAGCATTTTTAACCTTGCCAAAATGCAGTATATAAAATAGAAAGGATATCCACCTGCCAGGATGAATATGAGGATTAAATGAATCAGTAACAGTCATGTTTCTAGCATGGTATGTGGCACAAAACAGACCTTTGTTAATGTTAATCCTTTTCTTTTTTTGCAGCCTGTTAATCTATTCATTAAATTACACTTTAGAGCTCACACTCTAAATTATAGCTTATAATTATCACATTGTTACTTCTGTTGTTACATAGGCCAATACAGGTCTTTTGTTGCATGTATCAGCCAAACCTATAATTTAAAAGTTCTGCCTTACCATGTGCTTGCTATAATTTTAGGAATCACATTCTATCTAGTAATTACAACAAATCCTTCAGTTTCACCAAGTGACATATTTTGCTTCCTATCAAATTCAAACATAGATTTAGATATATATACACACTAAATACCGGATCATTTTCCCTCTTCTCTTGCTGAGCCTTGCTATGAAGTGTGTTTGGGATTATGTCGAATAATCTTTTATGTTTAATAGGTAACACAAGAGTTATTTTAATGACCAACTAATTTATAAAACATTCCCAACTGACTTCCTAGAAAATTCACTGTTCAGTTTTAGATTCCTAGAGTGGTTTGAATTGTTGATGTTAATTACCCCCTTCCACCTTTGCTATAGCAGAGTGTGCATCTCAGTTTCAGCTTCTCCTATTATGCAGATATTACTAGGCAATTAACATCTTCCAAAAAAAAATAGAAAGAAAAATCGTTGAGAGGTTGTTTTTCTTAACCTTGAATTTCTCTGAAAGATCTGGGTGGCCACAGAGATGCCATTTCTGCTGCAGTCCGTTGGAATAACATGCCTGCAATTGTGTACAGATAACTTGCATAGCCATGCATGGCTACCCTGTTGAAGTTGACTTTCAGGCATAATATGATCACATCTATTAAAAAGTAATCTTCTTATCAAAATATAGTATTTATTAGCAAACATGATAAGTGTCTAAAAGAAAGCATTTAAAAAATGATCCACCTAGTGGGTGGAGATAAAAAGATGTAACTCACACATTTCAATGAATTCTATTAACTCTGCTGTTACCTCCAGGTTAAGTTAGTATAAGGCTTTGATATGAGTCATTTACTAAATGTAACTGAATGGTCTGACAAATATTAATTCACCGGGAGAAGGGTGATTTGTTTCTTCCTCAATAGCAAGATTAAATCTACTCATTTAGACACCTGTCACTCACTAACAAGTCTCCAATGTTATCACATTGGAGATATCTCATAGTTATCACATGCTATAATGCCAAACATCAAAGCCACAACTTTTGTGCAAGAGTCTAGTTGTCTCTAAATGAAAAAAACAGCTTACATGCCAATCCCAATCCATGGATGTTGTTGTAGAAATACCTCACTGACCACAGAACTTTTTTAGATATTATAAGAATGGGTATTTCCAAGGGCTTAAAACATTACTCTTCCCAGCTGCAGGTATTGGGGAGGGAGTGCAACAGGAGAATACAAATTCCCAAAAAGTGGGTGGATTGAACAAGATTCATTCATTCACCTACTAACTGACAGGCACAGTTTTAAGTAGGAGAATACAAAGATGAATAAGACAGAGATGATCTCACTCACAGAAGAAAGTTCTGTACATTATTGATAAAGGAAAACCTAATGACAATTGTCGCGGGTGTGGAGAAGCAATCAAGAATGGGTCAGTTCAAACAGCACATGAATCTTCATCGAAGTACCATAACTCTAGAGTCGGCTGAAACTCTGCTATGTTACTAAGTCTTGGTTTATATCACACAGGCATAGTCAAGATTACAGAAAGAACAACTGCCCAGACAATAAGAAAGACCTGATGAAAAAAAAAAATTTTTTTTTGAGACGAAGTTTCGCTCTTATTGTCCAGGCTGGAGTGCAATGATACGACCTTGGCTCACTGCAGCCTCTGCCTCCCGGGTTCCATCAATTCTCCTGCCTCCGCCTCCTGAGTAGCTGGGATTACAGGTGCCCGCCACCATGCCTGGCTAATTTTTTGTATTTTTAGTAGAGATGGGGTTCCACCATGTTGGCCAGGCTGGTCTCAAACTTCTGACCTTAGTTGATCTGCCTGCCTGGGACTCCCAAAGTGCTGGGATTACAGGCTTGTGCCACTGCGCCTGGCTTAGAAAAATAAATTAATGAGAAGAAGTGTTTAAGAAATAATTATTTCAAACTGCTTCAAACGATCCAAACAGAATGCCTCATTTATTCCATAAATATGTATTAAGCTTCTATTCTGTCCAAATGTACCATCAGGGTCTCAGAATCTACTGGAAGGAGACCAATATAAAATAATTTAATTCACTAAAGATGGGAACTTCTCTGATACATATGTCTAGAGGCTGAGTGCCCAGAGGAAACACTCTAAGCCCAAGTTGAGAGATTAAAGTGCATCGTAAGTAAAATATCTAAAATGCGTCTTGAAAGATGAGTAGAGTTAACTATTTCTTTCCACCTCAAACAGATGAAGAAGTTTCAGGGTAAAAGCATAAAAGGTGTGAAACAGCAAGACATGCCATGGAAAAGCTACATTCCACTTACTTTTCTGAACCACGATAAAGGAGTTGCGAGAGAAGAGACAGCCGAAGTGAGTTGTAGTTTAAATAATGTATGCTGAGAAGCTTGAGCTTTAATTTATGGAAAACAATGAGTCATTGAAAGGTTTTAATTCAGGGAGTCAGACACTTTTGTTTTTTCAGACCGATCTTTTTTTTTTTTTTTTTTGTGGGGCGAGACTTTTGCTCTGTCCCCCAGGCTGGAGTGAAGTGGTATAATCTCGGCTCACTGCAACCTATTCCTCCCGGGTTCAAGCAA